GACTATCTGAAATGAGAAACACTTGGAGGAATCAGCAGCAATTAGATACTGAAGAAAAAAATGGTCCATGAGACTATGGCAATAGCAATTATCAATAGTTAAACAGAGATATAAATACATAAATATTTAACATAAAACAAAATTATGTTTTCTCTTATTGAAATCACTTTGCATGATACTCAATTATTTAAGACAAGGATGGAAATAATATAAAAGCAAAGTGAATGTGAATAAATGAATTAAAGTTGGAAGGGGAGACATATGAATACTTTTTAAAGATTTTTCTACTATGCACAAAATCATCAAAAATCCTGTGAAAGTAAACTATGTTGTATTAAAATGTATCATATAAAACTTAACACAGCAATTAAGATAATGTAGAGTTATATATAACTAACTAGAGTGGAGATAATCAATTCACAAAATATGTTTAATTCAAACAAAGTCCATAAGGTGTAGTATAAAAAGAAACAAGGTGAGAAAAACAGAAAACTCCAATATAATAAATAAAAATGTTCTAAATAAACCAAAATAAAAGGCAGAGATTGTTGGATTAGACAAAAGCAAGATCCAACTGTATACTGCCTGCAAGAAACCTGTTTAATTAGGAAGACACAAACATTAGTTAGAACAGAACAAAAAAAATACTAATGTAATCAAAAGAATTATATGGACTATAGTAATATAAAAAATAAATTTCAGAGCAGAAAATTTCTGAGGAAAGAACTGTCTTATAATGATGCAATGATAGAACAGCTAGCAGAAATAATAATCCCAAACACCCAGGTGCCTAAAAGCAATAAAATGTATTATCATATAATAGAAATAAATTTAGCAAAAATAAAGTGTAAGAAAAAAGAAAAAGATCTATAGTTACAGTCAGAAAATTCAACAGCCTTCTCTCAGCAATGAGTAATCACACAGAAAATCATTTACAGAATCCTGCACCAGCAACAGAAAAATAAGCCTTGAAATAGATATTTTAGGCTACAATAATTAAATTATTTTTGACAAAATGGTCTTAAATGAGAAATCAAAATAATAAATATCTGGAAGCCCCAAAGCACTTGTAAGCAAAATGCCATGCTCCTAAATAACCTGCAATTCAAATACAGAAGATACAAGAAATAAATTCTGAACTGAATGAAAGTGAAAAATCTAATGTATCCAAATGTGTGGCACACAGATAAGGGAGTTCTAGGAAGGTAATTCACAGGTTGAATCCAAGGTCTCAGTCCTGAGCAGCCTCCATCTCACAAAACCAGAGAAAGAAGAGCAAAGCAGCTGGAGCAAGCACGAAAGAGGAACAACAAACAGAAAAAAAATGAAATAAAAACAGATAAAAGGGCTGGAGAGGTAGCTCAGAGGTTAAGAGCACTGGCTGCTCTTCCAAAGGTCCTGAGTTCAATTCCCAGCAACCACATGGTGGCTCACAACCATCTATAATGAGATCTGGTACCCTCTTCTGACATGCAGGCAGAACACTGTATACATAATAAATAAATAAATCTTTAAAAAAAACAAGGAAAAGGAAATGACATATTCTTTGGGATAATCATGGGGACAAAAGTATAGAAAACTCAAATTACAAGTGTTAAGCACAGCCTCATTTAAGGGCTTTATAAATTCTGGACCCATGCCACCTTAAGCTTTTATGAGAATAGGCCATGAGCAGAGTGTTAAGTAACCAGGATATTGCAGGCATCCAGAATTGGGTAGGAAACTGGAAATAACTACATCTTGGGTTGAAACAGTAGTCGGATGAAAACCTTATATTATTTTCCTTAACACAGCTAACATTGTAAAACAAAAAACTGGCAGTCCAAGTATTGTAGAAACTGATAACACCAGGGCGATAGCTTCTGACTTCAATTTACTACCCAAGAACATACAAGGAGACAGAGACAAAATTGCCCAGGTATGCTCTATGTAGTTTGTTTTAAATGTGTTATTGCCCTTACTCGTAATTTATTTCCTTCAAGTGAAAGTTTTTAATAACTTGTGTCCCTTTCTTTATTCAGAAATACAAATGACTGAAGCACAGAGCATGTGGCGCCCTATATTTCATGCCACTTAAGAACTATGTCTACTATCTTCAAATACAGCAATTTAAAATATACTACTTGCTATAAAACAAAAATTATATAGATGTTTCTTAATGAGACTTCTACATGTAGATAACTTCTAAATTTTTTGACAAAATTAATGGAGTCAACAATTCTTTTCTAAAATGTAATAATTTCCCCCATAAATATCAGAATGACATTTTAACTTCAATTTTATTTTTTAAAACTTTATGAAGTTTTACATAAAGAGCTGGACATAGTAATATATGCTTATAATCCTAGCACTCAGAAAGCTGGAACATCAGTATGGCAAGTTCAAGGCCAGCCTGACTTGCATAGACATATCACCTTAAGGGAAAAATGCTATTTACATAGTGCGCTGATAAGTCTCAGTATTAAGCAAATAATTTTTACCCTATGCTAATCCTAGAGAAACCATCAAAATCTGTAACTCTATATTACTCTTTCAGTTTTCACAGTTCAAACTTCTTACTTTATAAGGCTCACCAGCATTAGGTCCCGGGTGGATTAACTTTCAGACAGCCATACTGAGCCAACAGTAAAACATAAGTTCTGGGAAGGACCCTCAGGTTAGTCTATCTCCTAGGATAAGAAGACCTAGAGTGTTCTTCCTTCCAAACTCCAAATATAGTGCAGTGATTCTCTTCCCATGGTTGACATGGTTAGAATTGTGGAAGGCTAAGGACATGCCAAAGCAATGTATCTAAATGATATACATGGTCAAAAGTTACCATATAGGTGTTTGCAGTGTGTGTGTGTGTGTGTGTGTGTATACATACCTGATGGTGCCTCTTTACAAAGACAAGGGGTTTTCTTACACACATAACCTCAAGATTCGCAAGGCTGGTTGAGTATGAAAATGTCTGTTTCCATAAGGAAACTGGGAAGCTATGCAAGCTTGTGAACAAACCCTTCTTCATCCATACTTTCTCCCTTCCAGTGCAATGTCAGGGGATAGATCTCTGAGCACCATGATTGGGCTTCTGAATCTGGGTCTAGCAGTCTTTTTGGAGTCTTTCCCCAGTGGCTTCAGAGTCTTACTAGCAACACGTCTGGGTTTGAATTCTCTCTCTTCTGAGTTCAGTGTCTGTCAGGTTTAGAAATCCTTCGACTGGAGTGCCTTAGACCCATGTGTTTAGGATTTGTTGTTGAGTTCCTTATTGTTAAACAACATAAAGTTCAGAGGTATCAAGGCATGGAAGAGCAATGACTAGGCAACACAGATGTAGACCTCCAGAGTAGATGAAAGAGGGCTGAGAGAATCCAAGATTCTAACAAGAATACCCACATGTGGGTGAAAGGAATCCAAAGCTGTACCAAGGCACTCAAGAGACCACAGTTAAGTCCAAAAGATGCAAGCAGGGATACAGCAAGGTTGTTCACTAAGAGAGCTGGGTACAAAAACAACACTAAAGTATGAAGACTGTATTGAACATGAAGACGCTTTGTAAGTCAAGTCACTTCTGTTTTCTACAGGGACCGTTGGTGAGGCCAAGACTTCATCAATAATTCTCAGAGGGTCATGAACATATCATTCATCAAAACAAGTTCATACAATACAAACTTGTAATCTCACTCACAGAAATTTATAGAAAGAAACTCAGCATAATTCATCTGTTTGTTAAATGTGGTTCTTCACAGACATTTTTAAAAATATTTTTATTCCTTGAAAATTCTGCACAATGTTCTTTGATCACATTCATTCCCCTCTCCCAACTCTACTGAGATCCACCATCACCTCCCTACCCACCCAATCTTGGGTCCTGTTTGTTCTTTACTCAAATAAAAATAAATTAAAAGACATTAAGTGCAAAATATTCTGTACAAATTACTCTTGGGTGTTGGGCCAGCCCAAACGTGTGATTGACCTACCAGAGGCCATACTCTTAAAACTGGCTCTCCTCCTCCCAGTAGCTATCAAATGACAACAGCTCCTCAGCTAGGGATGGGACTTCCTGCTGGCTACGCCCATTCCCCCACCCTGCTCCATGGTGAGATTAGTAGAGATTTTGTTTTTGTTTTCTAACTAGCATGCATAACATGTGATACATGGCATTTTATATACATGATATAAAAAATATATATATTATATATCGTGCTATATATTTATATACATGATATAAAATATCAATTTATAGTATATTTTCCAGTCACTAAATCAAGTGGCATCAGGAATGCATAGCACTGCAATGTAACAATAATAAATGGATGAGGTAATCTCTAGATTCTAGATGTCCATGGGCATGTTTGTGCCTGGGTGTGCATGGATATGTGCATGTACATGTGTGAGGAGAGGAACATCCATGTCCATGGGCATGTTTGTGCCTGGGTGTGCATGGATATGTGCATGTACATGTGTGAGGAGAGGAACATCCATCCTTGTGTGATCCGATGTGTGATCACATGGAGTCCAAAAGTTAACATCTGGTGTCTGCCTTGATTCTCTAGATTTTTAGGACATGGTCTCTCACTGAATCTGGAGCTGATTGAATTGAGCTAGACCAGCTGGTCAGTGGCTCCGAGGATCTAGCTGTCTGTTCCAGCCTCAAGCACGGAGCTCACAGATAAATATCACCAGTCCCCAGATTTCACACGACTGCTGGCCCTCCAAACTCAGGTCCTAATGCTTGCACACCCATTAGCCATCTCCCCAGTCCCCATAAACTCTAATTTTAACACAACCTACTGACATATCCATAACTTTACAAGACAAAATCTTCTAATACCAGCTCTAGGTTTCACTGAGAACTGTTTTTTTTTTCTGTAATTTTAGGTAGAAATTAGAGAAACCATTGTTGAGTAAACAAATATTTCAATGAAGAAATTATCACTTTCAGTAATATTCCAAAATTTAACTTTTACAATTAACTCTGACTTTCTTCAAGAAGGACAACGTGTGGCCATTCACTTACCTTCCCCCAGCCACAGTAGTACTTCCGGTTTCCTCCACAGGTTATTGTCTCTCACTGGTTTGTCGAGCAGGTGCAGGCTAGCGGTGGAGGGCTGGGTGCAGTCCACTGTCTCAGACCTCAGGCCTGCCTTATTGAGCAAAAGGAACAGTCATTCAACTCTCTGTTCTTTAAAAAAATGATTGTTTTTGTCTGTTGGACTGTATGTGCACCCTGTGGCTGCCTAGTGCCTACGGAGGTCAGAAAGGGGCATCCTATCCCCCAGAACTGGAGTTAGGGTAGTGGTGAGCCACTGTGTGAGGGTGGAGAGAGAGCCCAGGTCATTTGCAAGAGCAGCAAGTTCTCATAGCTCATGAAAAGTCTATCCAGCTTCAGTACTCCACCCTTTAAAAGCAGCAAGTATCATCTTTTATTGGTGAGATTAGAGGGATTTGCCAATTACAAGGATGATTTGTTTTTCATACAAAGGCAGAAAGAGAAAAAATAAAAATAGAAATTGTGACACCTTTGTCCTTTCTACTCCTGTGACCATTTATAGTTTGTGGATAGTCTTCAAATGTCAAAAGGTGCTGTTTCCACAGCAATCGTTAGACCTCAGTCATGGGCATATGGAACTTCTATGTTTGATTACACTTCATTCATTCTTCCTCTCCATCTCTGTCTCTCTGTCTGTCTGTCTGTCTGTCTGTCTCATTGAAAAGAAAAACATAAACTTTCACATCACCTTGACTCTCTCAGCCTAGTTTCTCCAGCATCTTCTACAAATCACATTTGTTTCTCATAATGTTGAAGACATCATGGTAATATTTGGCGCTGAAATTATTTTAAAAGCAGAAGTAAGTTTTGTATAATACCTGAGTTTTGATTGTCATTACATGAACACTACCACAAACACACTTTCTATCATTTTTGAATTAAAAAAAAAAAGCAGGTTCCTTAGTTCATAAATGTCTTATACTTCTGCCTGGTCTAGAACTCTGCCCTCCCCCCAAATGTCTAAGCTTCAGTGTCTTGCTCACCCTGGTGGTCACAAATGTCCTTTTGGTTTCAGAGTGTGGGACAAATACTACTGCCCACCTTTCTGACTGACTTCGTGTGGACCCTCCTGAAGAAACTTTCCTCTCCTGATGATGAGACAGCCTTGGAGGCCGCGTCCTTACTGATTTTGACTTTGGAATATCATGCTCAGAAGATCACCATGGTGATGTAGTTGGCAACGAGCTAAGGAGAACAGAGTGTGCTCTCAAAAGTCCACTCTCAGCTTTATTATCTATTTTTTACATCCCTAATGATTGCTATTGTTCACTGAGTCACTTTAATCAGATGAGGCTTTTGTGAAATGTTTCAAACAGAGAAAATTGTCGGCACTATTATAATGAATATTCATTTACCAATCATGAAAAATTAGAACATTTTGCCATGTTTACTTTGCTGGCTTTTAAAAGAGAATTGTGTTGATAGCAAATACCTTTGTAATTGAAGTCTCCCATGTAGCATTTAAGAAACATTTTCAAGGCTCTCAGGTTGGAGTAACACTGACTAAGGAATTTATGCAGCCCACTGCAACTTGAAATTCCTTAGTCAGTCACTGATGCCCAAGACGCAGTCATCTCTTAAAGGCCTCACATTTCAGACTGGTGAAATCACTCTGTGGGTAAAATGCTTGCTGGGCAATGATGGAGACCTGACTTTGATACATAGGACCTATATAAATGCCAAGTACAGTGAAATATGTCTGGAACTCCAGCCCTGAGTTATAGCTATTCGCTCAAGACAGGTGGATTCCTGGGGCTCCTTTGCTTAGGCGCAAACACACCTTATCTAAAAAGCATAACTTAATAAAATGGTAGAAGAAAGTCTCCCTGACATCAACCTCCGGTTTCTACTTGCACCTGCACAAGCCAACACACACACACACACACACACACAGAGAGAGAGAGAGAGAGAGAGAGAGAGAGAGAGAGAGAGAGAGAGATTTGGGAGGGTTTCTAAGACGACATTTGGGGGACATCCTCAGACCACGACACCCTATCTTCCTCTTCCTTTCTATGCCATCATTTTCCCAGCTAAGTGGTCACAGTTAAATGCCTCTGGTATCCACTTTGTTTTCCCACTGGACTTCAACAAATTATGGCAATCATATGCACGTGAAGAAGCACAGTGACCATTACATGTAACTGGGGCTACAGGAGCCTTGCAAGTCTCACAAAATCACAATGATTCCCTGTAATTGTCCCACTGGACTTGAATTATAAAGTCCAATCTCAAAAACTGCAAAACTTTAAGATGAAAAGTACAAGTTTTAGATGAGACTGAGAGGATCTGAACTCAGAGCTTCCTCTCCTGATATAATCATGCACTGGGAAAGAAGGTAAACAAGAGGAATCATTCAAATTCAGAGAGCAGGCCAGATAAAGGACTGCAGCATAGAGAGTTCTCAGAGCTGCTGTAGACAAGACATTCCATAGAGCAAACACAACCTGAGGGAAATGGGAGGTCTGTGGTCATCTCCTTAGCCAGACGGAGTTCTTCAACAGGAGAGAGCACTCGGAGAGCCTAGAAGAAGCCATAGCATATCGCTGGAGGCAGGCAGGAAGGTCAAAAAGAAAACCAGGGGTGTACAACTAGCTTCTACTACAGCAAATCACTAGCCAAAGAGAAACGGAACAGAAATACGGTTTGGCAATTTATCACCTCAACCGAGCTATGTTTTTAAAGCTTTTCCCCCAATATCCATAACTATATGACTTTATAGTTCTTGACCTTAAATATTTTGCATTGTAATAATATAAATATACTTTCAGCTATTGCTTATGTGTATGCTGATTGCTACATTGGTCCTTCCAATAAAGGTTGAGTTCATAAAAATCAAGAAAAGGCTAGGCTTAAAGGTAAACAAGGAAGGTGACATTTTTGCTGACCTACAAAGATGCTTCTTCCAGGTGTCTAAAATTGTGGACGACATTTATGAGCAGCTCTCTTGGAATTCTTCCCACACCATGAAGAATGTCTTGCTGCGGGTTATCAGCCTGCTGATAAGAGCATCCCCTAAGAAGGTGATCTTTCAACTCATGGAGTTCCCAGTCCCTGCAGACGAGTAAGGCATCCCGCATCTTGCCTCTCTGTACACACTTACCCACAAGTTCCATGGTCATATGGCCAAGATAAAGTCTTTCTTTACTGTAGTTAGGCATAATCTCTTTTTCTGAAAAAAAAATCATTTTTTTGCACCATCTATGCTGGCTATAAGATTTAAGTATGTTCATATGTTATGCATAACTTTGGATAACGGTTAGCACACAGTAGGATCCCAAGATTTTATCAGTGTTTCTGTGGGGAGGGTGTTAAATTATCTGCTGTTATAAATCTTACCAAAGCAAACTTGCTTCAAAAAGATAATGATTTTTTTCTTGCCTGTGTTAATTTAATCATTTTTTTCCTTGAGAAAAATCTCCCAGACATAGAGATTTTCTTATTTATAAAGGACAGACTTACGCTATTTATACCCACCAATAGAATAAAAAAAAAGTTAATTACTAAAATAAAGGCCAAAGAAATGGCTTTGTGGTTAAGAGTTGCCATTACAGAGTTCTAGAGTTTAATTCTGAGCTCTCACACTGGGTGACTCACAACCACCTGTAACTCTGGCTCCAGGGGATCCAATACCCTCTTCTGTCATCCGTAGGCACCCACATGTATGTGCGCGCGCGCACACACACACACACATACACACACACACACACACACACACACACAGAGAGAGACATCCACATGCATATATGCAAGTAAAAACATAAAATAAACTTATTTTGTTACTAAAACTAACTGAGAATCTTCTGCCCATTAACTGTTCCTCTGAAACTCATGGTCTAGGACCACAAGAAATCTTAAAGAGCCGAACCTATTACTTTGAGTTTCTGGGACAGCACAGCTCTAATAAGTGCGCTAGAAGAGCTTAGAGGAATCCCGGGGCTCCACGTCTACAGTTCCGACGCTGTGGGGGAGGAGGGGCCGCTTCCCCTGTACTGGGTGCGCAGAACTTAAAACGGCGCCTAGCGAGCATGGGTCTCAACACCTTGTGTTTGCAGAGCTCTGCTTCTGATGTGGAAAGCGGCGAGCACCGAGCCAAGTGTCGCGCCCCAAGTGCTGAAGACCATCTTGTCGATACTGAAAGGAAAGCCTGGGGAGTTTGAGGAAGTCCTGATAGAAAAAAGGCGCTTCTCCCTGAATGCCACCAACTTGATGCCTGTGGCGGTAAATGCCACCATGAGTGTTTCTGCTCCCTGTTGTCCTCCTGATGGTGAATCTGCTATCCTCACTGGTTAGGCCACGCCTCCTTGGCACCGTCTCCTTCATGCATGGATCCACCTAAAACACATGTATTGTGTGAGACATCTTGATGATAGTGCGTGTAATCTGCCAAGATACAAACATAAGGAATGAATATTTATATTCAGGCTATAAATACATAGTAGTGCATGCGAGGGAGACCGGGTGACAGGAATGGTTTAAGGTAAGTAGGACATGCCACACTTCCATAGGGAAATGGTTTAAAATCAGAATCCTGGGATGATTCAAGATAATACTTATACGCTTCTTGGAAAGACAGAGAGCAGAACACAAATCCTGTTGTCTTACTTAGGGTTTCTATTACTGTGAAGAGATACTATGACCATGGCAACTCTTATAAAAGAAAACATTTAATTCAGGTAGCGGCTTAGAGTTCAGAGGTTCAGTCCATTATCATCATGATAAGGAACCTGGCAAGGTGCAGGCAGACATGTTCCTGGCTACATATTGATCAGAAGGCAACAGGAAGCTGACTGTGACACTGGGAGTGGCCCACCCTCACTGTAACACACTTCCTCCAACAAGGCCACACCTACTCCAACAAGGCCACACCTCCTAATCCGCTCCTATGAGCTGATGGGGACCAATTACATTCAAAATTGTCAGGGTGCAACTGACGTGACAAGAAGGCCAAAGAATCTGAGGGAACTGCCCAAGGGCAAACCTGTACTTGACTTTAGAGAGAGAGCCACCAGCTAAGTCACAGAAACTTCAGTGGTCCTGTCGGTATCTGATATCACCTGTGTCTCTACCAGTTTCCTCTCAAGTACGGTGATGTTTGGGCCATGAGAGAAATTTAAGGAACAGGGGTGCCATTGTTGATTGATATGAGGTGTTGGGATGTGTGTATGGATGGTAGTGGGTATTGTCAGGGTCACTATGCAGGGTTCAAGCTATTCAAGGATGACTTGACGCACCTTCTGTTGATTGCATCACTTCCCTGGGGTTTTAAGAAACCTAATGAAGACTTTGCCTACTAGTCAGGTTATTCCTCATGGCTACACAGGAAGGAGACCTTAGGATAAAAGCCCTCCGTGAGGACCAGCTTTCTTTCCACAAATTTGGCAGCTGGGAGGGAACCAGTAACAGTGCCTTGGAATTTCCTTACCAAGAGTGCCTGGCCCAGTTCCTACTTTCCAGTACGCCTGTGTGCTGAAAGAGGCTGGGAAGGCGCGCAGTCTTTCTTGCTCTCTTAACGACTGACAATGTTTGGAGGGAGACAGTTGCCTTTTTTAACTTCATTTTTTTTCCCTAATAGGCATCCCAGGCCCTGTGCACATTTCTACCTGTGAATTCCTATAGGAAAGTGGTGATCAAGCTTTTCCCCGAGTTCCTGATGGCCCTCATGCTTCAGCTCTTCTATTGCAACCAGCTTTTAAAAGACACGGCCCAGGGCAGATCTCTGTAAGAGAATGCTCTTTGGAGCTGGGGGGAGAGAAGGGTCCAGCATCCCATGCGGGCTAGTGTGGGACTTGTTATAAGACCGTGGGAGGTTCTGCTCACATTTCTTCCGCTCTAAGAGTAGAGGGCCTTCAGAAAAGCAGTCATGTTGAGGACATGACCATTCACTAGGATCTCTCCTCTCTATGAGCACCACATAGAAGAGTCATGAGCTCAGAACACGGTTTGTTCCCATGGCTCCTGCTGTCAGGTCAGTGAGAAGAAGAAGAAGCATAAAGCATCATTGGATCCAAAGCGAGATACATTCAAACTCTGCCGTTCCATATGCTCCAATAGCAACCTCTCAAAGTTGCTGCACACACAAAACAGAAAAGTGGGTACAAATACTGATTGTAAACTGGAAGTCTATCATAGTTTGGTGTGGATATGATGTGGGTGAGAGCAGTATGACAACCGCCCTCTGTTTCAGGACAAAGGTCACCATTTCCTTTTGGATAAGAAAGCTAGTTTTCCTATTTTGAAAGGAAAGTCAAAGTACAAATGTCGGTTATTCGCTGTGTCTGATATGACCATCTAAGGCAAACAGAGCACAGCTGATCTCGTTAAGATACTTCATCCATTCATTGTCCTCTAAAAAAGATACAAACCAAACCACCACTAAGAAGACAGAAACCTATTTTGCTTATTTAGAACATCCCCCCGCCACACACACACCAAAGAAAAATGATAGTTCTACCAAGTCATTACATTTCTGGGTAAGATAGTAAGCTTGTTAACGTGATTCAACCTAAATTTTATGTGCTACCATTTTATATTTTAACTTTTGCAATCCATGCACTGTTCATCGGGGAAGATGAAAACCATTTAACAATTACCATCCTCTGAAGCATCTTTCTCTCTAAAATTGTATCCTTGCCAAGATAGAGCGGAAAGTAAAGTTGCATGTACTCAGTTATATGTAGGTCACTGTCCTAGACTTTGTGTTCTTCTCTGGGCCTCAGCTACGTACGAGATGGCCTAAAGGTTCTGCTGAATTGCTCTGGACTAAAAGAAGTGCACGATGCTCTAGAGAAAAAGAATTTCTGGGACCAGTTTTCTCAAGTCATGGATCACCAGTACGGGATCCAGGTCATCACCAAGTAAGAACAGGGGACACTGGGGTAGGACGCTTGCTTCCCATTTTCTCTTCTGCATCTCCCTCCAGTGTCTCACGTGGGAACACATTCCCAAAAGCTTCCCTAACAATCTACATTGAAACTCGATTTTTGATTTTTTTTTGTGATTTCAAATATTTATTCTGAGAAAAATTCTTTTTCTTTTTTTCTCCCTTTCTTTTCTTCTTCATCCACCCATAAAATAGCCCCTCTCTTACCTACAAAGAGCTTAAGGTAAATGTGATGCTTTCCTCTCTGATTTTAGCTGATCTCTGCTCTGCGAACATTTAAAAGTGTCAGATGCTCTCTAACTTTAGAGAAATCTACCAAAGGTCCATCCTCAGTAAGCCAAGCATATTCTGGAAAATATAATGGAACATACTTTTTTAAAAAAAAATTAATTTCCTGCAGTAGAAATATTTTTGAGGAGTTGTTCAGTTTGTTTTTATTTAACTCTTTTGATTATAGGGATCAGATTTTCTGACAACAGTCACAGAAAATTCAAGAATTCAGAGAATACAGGGCCTTGGTGTCATAAAAGGGTCTTTGTAATTGTGACTGACTCAGAGAATACTTTTTCTGTGGCCCCTGAGCTTTAGATGTTTCTAAAACTGTAACTGTGTGGGCATGTGTATTTTGGGGATATATGTTTTTAAATGAAAACTATATTTATGTAGATTTTTTTAAATTGGCAAAACCCAACAGATAAAAGAAGTCACAACATATGACTTAGATCATCTCCAAATACATAGCATTTATTAATGAATGTAGCTGGTAAGTTTTATCATTTTGATTTACTTTTCATCAACTTTCACTATTGGAGAAAGACGGAGTTCTAAGAAAAATCCCACAACTGCCTGAGCTCCTACAACAGGACTGTGTAGGGAAATTGATTTCTATCCTTACAGACTTTGACAAACTAGACCTCTTACAACTTCAGAAAGAGGTGTTTTCAAAGGTAGGGAATGCAAGGAAAATATAGACAGTTCATTAAAATGTGGTCCCATACAGGCGAAGGTAATTCAGATTTTCAAAGTTCTCTATAAGACTCAAAATAAGGCCCATTGCCTTGCCACAGTCTAGCCTGCAGCCACTGATGCCTACATAAGTAAAATGTGCTCCACAGGTATAAACTTCACTTGGGGAGTAAAACTATATTTGTGAGTTCTGTCTGTTCAGCGTGCACATTTACAGTTTTAGCCAAAGGACATGAAGTTTGAAATGAAAAGCTATCATATGATCCTTGAATATCCTACCTTTACCAGTTGGATTCAGGATGGTTTATGAAGAAAACTCTAAGCCTGGCCACCAACTAAGTGTTCCCGGAAAATGATTTAATGACTCTGAACTTACTGTCCCTTCTCTGAAGTAACTTGAAGTTGCCCCTAAAGGAAAAGCACCATCCAAATCCAAAAGGCTGACCTTCAGCCTGTGTGGTTACCTTGGATTGCCATTTTGGTCAAGAATTGATGGATGCTTATGTAAAAATAAGACTTCTCTTAACGTGGAAAAAATAAGAGATAAAAGAAAAGGAATGACGATAAGGAAAGAATTATTTCTCTCTAGCTTTGTGGTGATGCTGAAGCTTACCTTAGCTTAGGGTATTTTTTGGAAAGACTTTCTTTCTAGCCTGGGTAGTCAATAGTAAGGACTGATAGCTTGTCATTGTCCTTGTTAATGCAGGGTATTTCTCTTCTTTACTAATTTGGTGTCTTGTGCTCCTTTACAGAACTCTCAGTGAGTGTAACTTCCCACAGTTCCCAGAGACCCTACATTATGTCTACAAGATTGCAGTAGAAGGTCCTAGAAGATCAGAAGACAGTATCGTCACAATAATATTCTTTGCTGAAGTAAGTTTTAATAGCACATTGTGACAAACTGTGTGCTCTCATTCTCATTCCCTGAATAAACTTAAACCAAAACTCCAGCATCTCATCTCCCTAAGTACTTTTCTCATGAAAATTTAACAAAGTAAAACATATATAAAGTCGAAACCCCGGGGCCGCTCTCCCCACTATGGTGAGGACCACCGTTGTGGAGAGACAGAGGTCCAGGTGCCTTGCAACCCGAATGCGGGGGCAGGGGATGCAGGGATGAGGGCTCTAGGGTGTTCCAGACTGCTGTGCCCATGGAAGTTCATGACTTTACTGAATCGATCAAGGAGTTCAATCCAATCTTCAGGGCCAACAATCCAGGATTATCTGAATTGACCAAGGCCAACCTGGGAAGAAGTAAAGAAACAACTAGAAAAGAAAAATAAGAGTTCCAAAGCTTTGGCTGAATTTGAAGGAAAAAAATGAATGAGAATTGGGAAAAAGCTAGAAAAACACAGAGAAAAATTATTAAGTAGAAATGAGAGCTCATCCAAAAACAAACAAACAAACAAATAAATAAAAGACAGAGAAAGAAAAAAAAAGAAATCTGGTTGGTATTCATCTTCTTCTTCATCGAGCTCTGGTTCTTCCCGCAGTTCTTCAGATCCTGAAGATGAAGATTAAAAAAAAAAGAAGAAGAAGAAGAAAAGGAAAAGTTGTCTCCCGAGAGCTCAGTGTTGGACTCCGACTTGGACAGCAAGAACAGTTCAAAAACGAGAAAGAAGTCAAAGGATGTGACTGAGAAAGAAAAGGACACTAAAGGACTCAACAAAAAAAGAAAGTTGTATGAAGATAGAGCACTGACTTCTGAGTCATTGTCAGAGGTGGAGTGTGAAGAGCTACAGGCGAAAAGGAAGAAAAGCAGTGAAGACAGCGAGAGAACAGATAAAGACACAGCCAAAAAGAGAAGGCAGCGTAAGGACAGCAAGAAGAAGAAAAAGAAGCCTGCCAGCTTCAGTTCTGACTCGTCACAGCATCAGCAAGACCAGGGTCCCTTACAGGGTGCAATGAAGGAGCTCTGAACTGTGAAGACTACGACATATGTAGTACCGCGCGTGAATTCCCTTGTGTTTAGACCTGTCCTGGACTAACCAGAAGCCACTCGAATGCTGCTGGATGAAAGGCCATGATTGTTGTCTGAACATCTTTTCCTCTCTCCCAGCCCTCAATGACTCTGGGAAACCGTACATTGCAGTCATACTAGTGGTTACGATATTTGGAATAAAGCTAATATTTTTTTCACTAGATGTACGTAAGGATAAGTCAACAGAAACAGTTTGAATCCATCTCCAAAATGTGACCCGAAATAATCACATGGCTCTGGGGAAATTTTCAAAGTAGGGGTTACATTAATATTTCAAAATTCCTATGCTGTAGATAAGTGTATTTTAATTTTTCCCCATGTATATTTTGATTCACTTGGGGGAGGAGATTTTAAAGGTGGGGGTGGTTTGCTATCTCTTTAGCTACCAGAACAGTGTGCCTTTGATCTCACACTACTTTTATGGACACAGTAGCCATGCTCCCTGGGAGGTCAGAGCTGGGCACCATCAGTCCTGCCCTTGACTGTGGTTAATGATATCCATTGTATGCTGCTTTGAATGAACCAGAGATACTCAGCCCTTTGCAGCATGAGAAAGCCCCACAACTCTGGTATTTACCTCCACTTCAGTAATAGCTACCTGAATGTCTTTTAGGGTTAGATTGTGTTATGTCATTTGATTTAATTCTGCCTACACTTTGACTTTGGCGAGGAAGTGTTTAGTAGACACTGGTACCTTCTGAACTGATAGCAACAATTCTAAAGTGGATGTTTTATGCAGGTTTTAACCAGTCAGAAGGGGTTACGTAGCCAGTGATAGCTATTTTATGTTTTGTATAGATTTTGTTGAGGCTGTAGTGTTTAACTTTTAACTCTTTACTCTTGCTGTCTTGACTTCATTACTATGTTTAGTGGCACACAAGATATTTAGCATGTAAAAAGCAGGACTTTTGTTTTTTGTTTTTAACAGCTTCATATTGAAGCTAAGCCTTTTGCCACAAACAAGTTGAGTGGTAGGCCTGGTATATGCTATATCTTGTTACATAAAGATGTTGCCAGAATCTTAGTAAATATTTTTTAAATACACACACATATATACACATATGTATACACATATATATATGTGTATATATATATATATATATATATATAGTCAAAGGGGGAGGTGGGAAGGAGTCCTGCCTACTCATTAATTTATTAACTGCATTTTTTTTTATTAAAGTTACTGAACAACTTCTTCAAGGAATCATTACCCGAGGAATTTTTGGTTCTCTTCAGAAACTGGATTAATGATTCCAATCCTTCAGTTAGCAAAATGAGCCTTCAGAAAATCGCAAGCATGGCACCTGTTTTCAGCAAAGTATGTGTGAGTGAAGTGTGATGTGTGTCACGATTGGATGTTTTGTTACTTTTCAACATTTTGCAATGAAACGTTGATGCTTTTTTCAGTTTCTGTACAGCTAAAACCATCAAAGTCTGAAACTCAATGGAATAGAGAGAATATAAATAGCTTAGTGGGTTTTGTCCACCTTATTCATATTTTTTCCATAAAGCCATGTCTTATGCTCAGAATTTATTTAGCATCATTGCTCAGAGTAAGTACCCCTCTTTCAGGTCAAATCATAGACACCTGTCCATTCCCTCTCTATATTTGTGTACTCATTGACTTCCTTCTTGGGGTACCCACCAGACCTCTTCCATCCACTCATGACATTCTCCCTTCACCTATATGTGATTGCATTCTTTGCCCTTTTGGACGATCACCTCAAGTCAGAATTCATTAAATATTCTGACCTCTAGCAGACTCCTCCCTCTGAAGGCCATCCCATCTAGGAGAATTTATTCTGCAATGGTAATGCTCAAATTTTGGTCCTTGAACCACATGAATCAGAGTCACCTGGAAACTTGTTACAAATGCAAATTGTTGTGCCCTCCTCAAGCCTGCTAACCAGAAACTCCTGGTTGTGGTTCACAGGTCTGTCTGTTTAGGTCCTTAGGTGACAGTAAGAGACATTTCCCACAAGCTCGTGTGAGCAACTTTCCAGTTCTAATAAATTTAATCAGGACCCCATGTCTTGTAATTCCAAATTTCAAAGTATATTGCACAATCCTAAAACTGTAGATACCCACAAATCATTGCTGATTCAATAGTGGACCTAATAATAAATCTTTGTCTATTTGATCATAGCCTTCAAGCCTGTTTGTGGAGTGTAGTGAGGGGCTGCAGGCAGGCCTGCTTTTCGCCTCACCCAGCTCCCGCACGGCTAGCTTAGTCCCAGAAATAACAACACATAAATTGTATTCATTTAAGCACTGCCTGGCCCATTATCTCTAGAGAGTTAGTTACTGACTAACTCTCATATCTTGATATTAACCCATTTCTAATAATCTGTAGCACCACGAGGTGGTGGCTTACCAGAAAAGATTCAGCATGTCTGACCTGGTGGCTGGCGCCATGGCTTCTGCCTCACTTCCCTTCTTCCCAGCATTCTATTCTGTTTACTCCGCCTACCTAATTTTCTGTCCTATCAAAGGGCCAAGGCAGTCTCTTTATTGACCAATGAAAATAACACAATAGACAGATAACCCTCTTCCATCAGTGGAGAACTATTTTTGCATTTTTAAATTCATGAGCTGTGGTCCATATGCTTAAAAAAACATTCAAGTCAATAAGAGGTTTGTTTTTACTCCTTTATTAAACAGAAAATTATTTGCTGCTTTCTCCAAAATTCTTCTTCATGGTGTTCATAACAGGGAGATTTTATGCCAAGGTAAGAAGGACAATGGTGGAGAAACACAGATCTAAACTTCTTAGAAAGACAAAGGTACCTTTAGGAATGGATTCAGTTCTTAACTCTTGATGATATATATACTGTGAAGAGCTAATCTTTTGCTTCTTTGGAGTCTCTCATTTCTCTTTTCCTTCCCAGTCTGTTCGCTTTGGCTCTGATTTGCCTCTGGTGCTCTTCAGTTCCTCTGTTTAAATATTTTACTCTCATGTTTAGAGACCACACTACCAGATATGTTGGTTAAATATTTAGTACTAACTCTCTGAAAAAGCAGATAAAAAATTTTTCTAATATGAATATTCTTACCATGGCTCATTTCAAATGCATGTTATAAAATATGGAATTGTGCAGGAATGCATAACATGGCTTTATTTACTCTTCCAACCATCCACATACAGTTCACAAATAGCCTTAAGTACATAGAAAATATTAAAATACATACTAGCAAAAGATGTTAGAAGTGATCACGTTTAATACTACTTTTGATTGTACTTAATTATAAATTTATGTGATTCCTTTATAACAACAACTTTTTACAGCATTTAGTTTACAAAAATCTTTAATGGTTTTAAAGAGGACTTGTGAGTTGACGTGCTAAACTCAGAAACGTACATACCAGTTATCCGCTCAAGTCTCCTAGTCCCAAAGTTTTACCATTCTCTTCCTTTCCTGCATAGATAGAAAATGTCTGCAACCTGTTACTCCCAATCTTGGATGCTTTTCTCTCCAAAGAGAACACTGTTATCATCCGGGCCATGCTCACCCTCCGAAACATTTTGAGCAAACTGGACAAGGCCAGCTATTCCGCAATGTGTGTCAAGATCGCTTCCAGCTACTGCCCTCTTATGGATCATGTGAGTGACATCGTGTGATTAACTGTGTAAGACCACCAACTTTTGTGCAGAATAATCTTACATCCTAGAATAAGCTGGCATAAGACAGCTCTCTGTCCCTGGATACATTTCAGCTTAGTGGATACACTGATTAACACTGAAAGCTGGGCAGTGGTGCTGCATGCCTTTAATTCTAATACTCAGAAGGCAGAGGTAAGGGGAACTCTGTGAGTTCAAGCCCAGTCTGGTCTACAACGTGAGTTCCAGGAAAGGCTCCAAAGCTACAGAGAAACCATGTCTCAAAAACAAAAACAAAACAAAAACAACAACAACACTGGACCTGGGCTGGGTGGGTGTTATTCTCTCTTCTACCTTTGATATCATGGTAATAACATATATTTCTTCAGTCTTGGTGTGTCAGTTTCCCAACCTGTAAAACAGTCACAGAAGTTATTATAACATTAAGAGTTTATTTGTTCCCCCTCCAAAGCTTAGAGAACATCACATAGGAGGGGCTGGAAAGAACACAAGGGGCAGAGACTGGAACACAGTGTTGCAAAAATGATATCATCTGGCCATGGTATGGCCACTGTGCCAATGAACTTACTGAAGTTGTGGATAGGCACTCGAGACCTGCGCAAGATTTGAGCTCGTCAACATGGCATCAAGGAAGGAGGAAGGGCTCATAGGGGCCACCCTTCCTTGAGGGACTAAGCCAGTTAGTGGTGTCTAGAGAAAAGGATGTAGCTTTCTCCAGGGGTGTAGCCTCTGATAAATTACCCATGCACCAATAAGGAACTTTCTGCCCACACTCATGCAAGCAGCCTTTCTTAAATTCAGGGGTCACTACACAAGTGAGATGTGAAAGTAGAAGAATTGCCGAGGAACAGGGGGCTTCATGAAAAGAAGGAGAGAGAAGAAAATGACAGGAGATAAAAATGACTAAAATTCATCATATACATATATGAAACTGTCAAAGAATAAAAACAAATAAAAAAAATATCTTCAGTTGGAAACTGATTTGTCAAAAAGTAGGGACTTAAATTCTCTTTCACTCAAATTTTGCTTTGAAGTTATTTTCCTGTTCAGTATTACTGCACTCCATTAAAACACACTGTTTTTGCTACAGGATTACAAAGTTGTATGTAGTACCGCAAGTAAATATTTATTAACATATAAGACTTTGTTTTGTTTTAATTTCTCTTTAGTTTTGAGAGTTTCCTTCATGGATACCAGTGTTCCTTAACCATCCTAATGTTGTGACCCTTTAATACAGTTCCTTATGTTGTCGTGGTGACCCCCAATCATATAATTATTTTGTTGCTACTTTGTAGCTGTAATTTTTGCTACTGTTATGAACCTTGATGTAAATATCTGATATGCTGAATATCTGATATGCTGCTCCCAAAGGGGTCACGACCCACAGGTTGAAAATCACTGATGTGTATAATGAAATATAACCAAATATAAGCCCCCATCCAACTTTCTCTATGTCTTCCCAACAGGTCCCCTCCTAACTTCTTGTCTTATTTTCATACTCACTAGTGCTGTCATACTAAAATAATCATACTGTAAACACAGAAGATATGTGAGAAGAAAGAACAACTTAGAGAGGCTTTCTATGAACCAGACTCCTGCTCACTGGCTTCAGTTGCTATCTGGGAAAACTATTGAAAACCAGCAATTCAAAGAACAAGTAACTAAGCATCAAAACTGATACATGACATAACTTCAACTCTGAGCCTAAACTGGTTGTAGAGTTGCTCTTCAATAACTTAAATAGATTTTATTAATTAAAAAGAAAAATAGAAGAGAGGAAGACTAGCAACACTTAAGAACAATTACATTAAATAATAGTATTTAAAATGATAGAACACAGCTTTTCTTTTAAGACTAAGAATCTTTGTTGAAATTTACAGTTGAAGTGGAGAAAGTCTCAAGGTCAGATTTAGGAATTAAACTCCCAGTAATGAGGAGTCATTTTCATATATATAAGCAGCAGAATAGTATTAGGTATTCCCTTAGGATCTGTGACCTGTCTGGCCTCAAGTTTTTGGCCTGAGAGTGGCATTGGCTATGGGTTTCTTCTTGTGGATCTGGATTTAAATCCAATTAGTTTATTTGATTAATTGATAAGCATGCCACTATTGCACCAATGGGCATATCTTGTTGGGCCAGATGTTATTGTAGTTCACAGGTTCACAGCTGTTATTGTAGTTCACAGGTTCACAGCTGGATAAGATCGGACATTTCTTTTTCTTTTCTGGAACTATAAACAACTATCCAGTAGGAATGGAGCTTCCAAATGAGTACCAGTTCAAATTCCCCCAAGCTCTATGGGTCAAGTACATGTTGTCTTCAGCAAGAGAGTCACGTTCTGAGTGGTCATTTTGGGCATTGGCGATAGCCTGTAATGCCTATCTGTCTATGAGACCTCATTAGCCAAGATCCCACCATTGAGCTTCTCATTTCCTAGCCTGTGTTGCCTAGTAGAAATACTGTCTTCCCATTGTAAGGTAACTCTATTTTGACTATTTTAACATGCATATATAAAAATGCATATATAATACATATAAACAGACATACATAGAAAGTGTCTACAGTAGTAGATTTTATATTACTTTTTTTGAAAGACCATTAGTGTTAAATAACATTCCCCATGTTTCTTCCTTTACCCTGCTCTCCCATATCCCACACAAACTTAACCTTTTGTGTTCCTGTAAGCTATTGTAAGCATTTTGCTACTGCTTTCTATCCCCCACTTTAAAACCCTTCCTCTATGGCAATTACTAATTTCCTGACCTCTATAAGCATTCCAAATGAAACATTACACCTAAAAATGTAAAGCTAATGTCTACAAATGAGAGAAGATGCATGATATTTACCTCTATCGACTCACTATTTTCCAGCTCCATTTATTTGTGAATGTCATAATTTGTTTTTCTTTTTTATAGAAACCTTTAAGATGTATTTTAATTGCCATAAAGAACTCTTTGTTCCTTAATAGATAACATGTTTTCTAAACCAACTATATTTTCTATAATCTGAAAAAATCAAGCATTTTTGTCTTTTTTATTGAGCTATATATTTTTCTCTGCTCCCCTTCCTTCCTCTCCCAATACCTTCTACCCTCTCCTATAGTCCCCATGCTCCTAATTTACTTAGGAGATCCTGTCTTTTTCTACTTTCCATGTAATTAGATCCATGTATGTCCCTCTTAGGGTTCTCTTTGTTGTCTAGTTTCTCTGTGGTTGTGGCCTATAGGTTGGTTTTTCTTTGCTTTATGTCTAAAAGCCACTTAGTGAGTACATAGGATATTTGTCTTTCTGGGGTTGGGTTATGTCACTTAATGTTATATTTTCTAAATCCATCCATTTGCCTGCAAATTTCAAAATGTCATTATTTTTTCTGCTGTGTAGTACTCCATTGTGTAAATATATCACATTTTTCTTAACCATTCTTTGGTCGAGGGGCATTTAGGTTGCTTCCAGGTTCTGGCTATGACAAACAATGCTGCTATGAACATAGTTGAGCTAATGTCCTTGTGGTATGATTGAGCATCCTTTGGTATTACTGGGTCTTGAGGTAGGTTGTTTCCTAATTTTCAGAGAAATTGCCATACTGATATCCAAAGGGGCTGTATCAGTTCCACCTTTACCCCACATCCTCTTCAGTATAAGCTGTCATTAGTGTTTTTGATCTTGGTCATTCTTCCAGGTGTAAGATGAAAGAGTTGTTTTGATTTGCATCTCTCTGATGGCTAAGAATGTTGAGCATTTCCTTAAGTGTCTTTCAGCTATTTTAGATTTCTCTGTTGAGAGATCTCTGTT